AATTACCATATGATCCAGTAATTCCACTACTGGGTATTTACCCAAAGAAAATGAAAACACTAACTCAAAGAGATATACGCTTCCCTGTGTTTATCGCAGCATTATCTACAATAGCCCAGATATGGAAGCAACCCAAGTGTCCATCGATAGGTGAATGGATAAAGATGTGGTGTATGTATACACACAGGCACGTACTTTTGCGCGCACACACAGTGGAATATTACCCAACCATAAAAAAGGAAATCTTGCCACTCGCTACAACATGGATGGATCTAGAGGATATAATACTAAGTGAAAGAAGTTAGAGAAAGACGAATACCATATTATTTCACTCATGTGGAATTTAAGAAAGAAAATGAATGAACAAAGAAAAACAGACTTAAATACAGAGAACAAACTGGTGGCTGTCAGAGGGTGAAGGTGGGTAGAGGGATAGCTGAAATAAATAAAGGGGATTAAGAGTACACTTACCTTGATGGGCACTGAGTAATGTATAGAATTGAATCACTGTATTGTACACCTGAAACTAATATAACACTATGTTAATTATAATTCAGTTTTAAAAACCACTTATTTTTAAATGAGGTGGAAATTAGGGGATTCAAAAGTCATGTTACTAATAAGGCAAATCAGTTACAGAGCTGAAGTAGTTTATTTTTTGCTTTCCATTGGGAGGATGGTTTAGAAAGTTTAGGAAAACCTATTAATCATAACTTATGTGGAAATAAGTGTGGACTCCCAAGGGAAAAAATGCAATTTTGCATGTCATTTTTATATTTTTCTAAGGGTTTTCATGTGTTTCCATTTAAATTATTTGGTCAGTATAATATAATGGAATAAGGACCTACTAGTGTCTAAAGATAGATTATCTATACAAATGAGCTTCTTGAGGCCTATAAAAAAGAGGGCTACTAACTTGGTATTTAAAAAATAAGCTTGCTGGGCGCCTGGGTGGCTCAGTTGGTTAAGCAACTGCCTTCAGCTCAGGTCATGATCCCAGGGTCCTGGGATCGAGTCCCGCATCAGGCTCCCTGCTCTGCGGGGAGCCTGCTTCTCCCTCTCCCACTCCCCCTGCTTGTCTTCCCTCTCTCGCTGTCTCTCTCTGTCAAATAAATAAAATCTTTAAAAAAAAAAAAATAAGCTTGCTGTATAAAAGTTACCTAACTTTTTTGATTTCTCTTCCATTGGGTAGTTTTCCACAAATGTTGAAGGTCAGCATTTTTCCTATGCCAGTGATGTTACTTTAAAAAGTCCAGATGCTAAAGGGGAAAGTCAAGGAATTACAGGTTTAACCTTTTTAAATCCTTTCATCCTTTGTGCCCTGGAGAATTCCTGTTATAAGTAGCATATATTTTCTTACGTGAATTTGTGTGATGCCAAAGATGCTTATGATTATGTCACTGAAAACGTATCATAATTTGTAGTTAATTTCAATTACTTATTCACCATGAAAAACCAGTGTTTTTCTATGAACACCACAAATTCATAAGTAAAATGCCAACTAGCATCACAAATTAATGCTCTTAGGGGAACCTGGGTGGCTCAGTTGATCCTAGGGTCCTGGGATCGAGCCCCATGTCAGGCCCTCTGGGAGGGCTTTGCTCAGCAGGGAGCTTGCTTCTCCCTCTCCTTCTGCCTGCTCGTGCTCTCTCTCTTTCTCTCTCTCTCTGTCAAATAAATAAAATCTTTAAAAAAAACTAATGCTTTTAGAATTTGGTATTAATAATGTTAGGCAGCTCTGAGATAAATTTTCTTTTTGTTTACCCTAAACTGAAACTAAGCACAACGTATTCTACAAGTATGTCAAAGGAACTCAAAATATTTTTAAAGTTATGTAATGAAAAAAGGTAATTAATTCTGTTAAATGAATAATTCTCTGCATTCAACATACATACATTGAGAAGCTTTGTTGTGTCTAGTTCTGGAGGTAGTTATGATAAATATGACATTTCCTTTCCACAGTTATAGAATATTTATAGTACATTATAAGAACAGAATTCTGGGGTACCTGGGTGGCTCAGTCGGTTAAGAGTCTGCCTTTGACTCAGGTCATGATCCAGGGGTCCTGGGGATTAAGCCCCGCATCGGGCTCCCTGCTCAGCAGAGAGCATGCTTCTCCCTCTCCCTCTGCTGCTCCCTCCTGCTTGTGCATGCATGTGTGTGCTCACTCTTTGTCTCTGTCAAATAAAATCTTAAAAAAAAAAAAAAGAATTTTGCAAAAAGTACCTGCAGGATAGGAAATCAACAAACGTTTTCCTGGACAAAGTCACATCTGAGCTGCCTATTCATTAAAGAACATGTTTCTAGTATTTTTAACCAGTTGTTTTGTGGTACGGAGAAGTGCTTTCCATGAATGCCTCACAAGTCTGCTGGGATGCAGAATCCTTGAGTCCTTGAGACAGCCAAGTAGGGACCGGGATGCACAGGGCCCACCAAGCTAGTCATCTCCAGTTATAAGCAGCCTCTTCTTACCCCAGTGCTCCATGAAGTTGTTAACCATTTTCCACGTGTCATGATATGGAGACTATTGGGAAACAGTGGTGTAGAGAAATGCTATTATGTAAGGTAATGGAATCTCCACTTAGAGTTTCCAAGGGATCACAGACTTACAAATAAAAGCTAAATCTAATAACCAAATTTTAACTGGCCTTACTACTTTTTTAACTTTCTTAATTCTGGTAATATATATATAACATAAACTTCACCATTTTACCTATCTTTAGGTGTACATGTATCTCCAGAACTTTTTCATCTTCCTAAACTGAAACTCCATTCTCAGTAACAGTAGCTCCTATCCTTCCTTCCCCCAGCCCCTGGCAACCACCATTCTACTTTCTGTCTCTCAACTTGACTGCTCTGAGTACCTCATAAAAGTGGAATCATACAGTATTTATCCTTTTGTAATTGCTTTATTTAACTTAGCCTACTGTCTGCAAGATTCATCCATGTTATAGCATGTGTCGTAATTTTCTCTTTTTAAGACTATTTCATTATATGTATATATCACATTTTGTTTATCCATTTGTCAATAGACGTTTGGGTTGCTTCTAACTTCGGGCTGAAAAGTGGAATTGCTGAATCATATAGTTCTATTTTTAATTTTTTAAGGAACCACCTTTTTATTTTCTGTGGTGGCTGTACGACTTTATATTACCAACAACAGTGCCCAGGGTTCTAATTTTTCCACATCTTCACCACCACTGGTTTTCTGTGTTGTTTTAATAATAGCCATCCTATCTAGTGTGAAATGGTAGCTCATTGTGGTTTTGATTTGCTTTTCCCTAATGATTAGTGATGTTGAACATCTTTTCATGACCTTATTGGTAATATGAGCTGATATTTTTAAAGATATTCTGGGGTCTTGTCTAACAAGATTAACTAAAAAAATTAGATCCCCCTAATATCAAATTTTAATGCTGCAGAGAATCTTTGGAGATCATCAGAGTTCTTAATCTGAAATCCATTAGTGGTTTTAGAGAGTCCATGAATAGCTCAAAGCAAAAGTTCATCAGATTCTCAAAAGTATGTGATCCTCAAAAATTTAAAAACTATTGATCTGCACATGTGTGTAGGGAGAGGGACAGAGGAAGCCCAAGGTGGGGGGCTCTATCTCACAAACCATGAGTTCAGAATCTCCAAAACGTTTAAAAAAATATATCATCTCTTGGGTATAGATGGAATTAAAGTAAATTTCTAATTTCTACTCTGTACTTTTTTATGTTTTCCGAAGTATTTAAAATAATCATAGTGCATAGTGCATGGGATATTTATGCTATTTTAGAACTTAAAAAGTAAAATCCATCTTTAGCTCTTAGACCTACAATAAAAAAAAGTGTAAAAGCTAGCAAGAAATAAAATGGATATAGTAAGTTTTTATAATTGCCTGCCTTCTCTTAGAACCGTAGCATCCCCATGTCACTATAAAAAGAATGGGCAGGCTCTACAGCTGAAAAAAAGTGATGTTTTTCCATTAAATCCATTTCATCTGAACTCATTGCAATAAAATTTTTGCATTAGAGTTTTTTTATAACGAGCTTTTACTATAAATTGTGCAGGTTCTATATAGCTAGAAAAGCGGTATTTACCATTTAATTCATTACAAGTGAATTTCATTAAGGGACAATATTTGCATTTAAATTCTAACGAGGGGTGCCTGGGTGGCTCAGTCAGTTAAGCGTCCATTCTTGGTTTTGGCTCAGGTCATGATGTCATGATCTCATGGTTTGTGAGATAGAGCCCCACCTTGGGCTTCCTCTGTCCCTCTCCCTACACACATGTGCAGGATCTCTCTCCCTCTCTCTCCAATAAATAAATCTTTAACAAAATTTCTTTCTAATGATATTTTACTAGTTTTTAATATCTTTACATATTATATACTATAATTTTTAAAGGTGTTGAGGTTTTGTTTTGTTTAAAACATTGATTGCTTAATTTTAACCAACCAGAAAGAATATCCATGGCCATATCCATAGATATTTATCTATGATGGATAGATGAATACAAACCTGTGTTCAATTTAGCATTCTAAAGAACTATAGGAAATCTTTAGAATTTTGTGAAGAACTTAGAAGGACATCTTACCTATTCAAATTCATTGTCCGTTCTCCACATCTCCTTCAGTCTTTTTCCAAGTAGGGCTTAAATTCCTCAATCATTTAATATCCATGGGCCTCTATTTCCTCTTCTGTCATGCTGGAACTACATAGTTCTCTCCAGCTCTGAACATTTGATTCTCTTTATCTGTTTAATTGTAATATTTATTTTAACTGAAATAAGTACATTTTAAAAATTATAAGGGGGGCGCCTGGGTGGCAAAGTTAGTTAAGCTTCCAACTCTTGATTTTGGCTCAGGTCATGATCTCAGAGTCGTGGGATTGAACCTCACATCAGGCTCACAGTGTGGAGTCTGCTTGAAAGATTCTCTCTCTCTCTCTCTTTCCAAAATAAATAAAATCTTAAAATTATACCAGTTTTTTAAATTCTTGTTTTTCCTTTTGTAGCTTTATGCAGGTGCTATTCTTGAAGTTTGTGGATGAAAATTGGGGAGGTTCCCTCAAGTCCAAGGTACGTAAAATTATCTCCAGTAAATTCTCACTTTAATTTAAAATCAACATTTTACAAGAATACTTTCATTAAATATTCCCAAGAATAAATTTTTTAGGATTATACTGTCTCAACAGTGTATGTATTTTTTCCACATTTTGTTTTCATGGAGGTAGAGTTTTATAGTAATTGTTGAATACAAGGTTACTTTAAGCATAATATATGATACAACACATGATGAAGTGGTTATTCTCTTAGGAGAGCCTTTCCCTAAGTGTAACTTCTACAGGAGGCTTTGTTTTACCAGATATGAATGTAATCCCTTTAAGTAACATACCATTCTAATACATCTTAACTGTAAACTGATTTATATAAAATGCTCATAAGGGACAGTTGGAGTAAGTGAGAATAGACCTGTACAAAGTGGAAAACCATGAAGAAGAGAATTAATTACCATAGAGCTTGAGGCGCAGAGGAGAGGCAGTGATCCATGTGCAGGGTCCTCTCAGGGAATTTTAAGGATAAACATATGACAGGATAATTGTGAAAATGTATTCTTCTGGTTGACATCAAATTGTAATGGAGCTTTGCATCTCCAGAAAGACTTAGACTAAGACTTTTCTATTCTGTCCTGGCATGTCATTTGAAATTCAGTTTTATAAAACTGAAATTGTATAAAGGTAATGAAGCTATTTTTTTTATATAACGAATACATAAGTGCTCAGTTTATATACCTTGTTTTTATTTCTGCTGACTTTCTCATGGTTTCTCACCTTGTTTACTTAATGGCAAGAGAATTTTTTGGACTTAGTATCTTTTAAATTACCTGTATTCACACATGCCCTTTATTGCTGACCTAGAATTATTTATAATGATATATTGCTCTTTTTGGCACAGAAATGTAATAGAGTAATAGTTTGGCTTGGGGACATTTTATATGAGGCCCAAAGCAGATACACATCTAATTAAATGCATTCTTTGTCAGAATAAACACATTCTAATATAGCACAGAATATATCTACTTCGGCTTGGGGGAAAAAAATTCCTCATGCTGATTTTTTTTTTTTTGCCTTCAGCACACTCAGAATTGTACCACAGTTAGTTTTGGTTTTTATATCACTTCTCTAAATGATAGTTTGATCACCCTTATTCCTAGAAATTGCTTTTTAATTATATTATTCACATTTACTGACTTGTTTTATTAATAATCTTTTGTGACTTAGATTTTCATGAGGTTAAGAGTAACTTTGATACCACAATTAGCCTTATTTGTGATATCAGATTTTATTATGTCTTTGGTACTAATTTCTCCAGTTGGAAGTTCAGTCTTTAAAAGCTTGAGTGGAGTTTATCAGTCCTTGTAGTGGAACTTAATTCTATATATTTCTTATATATAGTTAAATTATCATACTTTGGGTACATGTAGTCATACTGTCTTTTCCTTTTGAAAACAACTGGCTGGATTTTAATTCTATGTATAAATATTTTAACATACAAGTTTTTTTAAATGAAAGTGATTTATTTCTGTAATGTGTAGCCATATTCAATATAATTATGTATAATGCCAATGTTTTCTGAGTCCATGAGGAGCTGGTATATTTTAAGTATAACCATTATTATATTCCCACTTTCGGACTCACTATCTTAAAGATATTCTGGAATAGGGCATAAAGGACAGTTTCACTTTTTACAGTAATTACACATACCAAGCTAATTTTCGTGTCATCTTTGCATTGTCTTTGTCATCAACATCCACTAGCCTCTGGGATTATCATAACTTTTAATTGTAATTTTTTTAATTCACTTAATTTAAAATACCTATGTCATAAGACAGAAAAGGAAATTAATGTTAAATAATTCCAGAAGAGAGAACTAAATTTTGAAACATTTTATTGAACTTAAACCACTCAGTGTGGGGGAAAAAAAGGTCCCAGATTATATTCCAAAGCCAATTCCAGGTCCAGCTCCTAAGATTCTTCTAATTTCCATGTTTTGATTGTGTAAGTATGAATACTTCCTTGTAATCCTTTAATATTTTTAATATTGAAGTATAATTGACATACAGTGTTTCCCGTGTACAGCTTTGGTAATTTTACATATTACACAGTGCTAACCACATTAAATGTCATCATCATCTGACACCATACAATGTTATTACAATATTATTGACTGTATTCTTTTTATCTCTGTGACTTACTGCTTATTTTGTAACTAGAAGCTGGTATCTCTTAACCCCCTTTAATCACCCAACCCCTCCATCCACTTCCTCTGTGGCAACCACCAGTTCTCTGTATTTAAGAATCTGTTCGTTTTTTGGTTATTTATTTCACTTAGTTTTTAGATTCCACATATATGTGAAATGATACAGTATTTGTCTTTCTCTGTCTGGCTTATTCCACTTAACTTAATCCTTGTAGATCCATCCATGTTGTCGCAAATGGAAATATCTCATTCTTTTCTATAGCTGAGTAATATTCCATTGTGTATTCCACACTTTTTTTTTTTCAATTAAAATATACCTGACACAAAATTTTACATTAGTTTCAGGCATACAACATAGTAATTTGACAAGTCTGTACCTTATGCTATACTCACCATAGGTGAGTTGTCATACAATGCTATTACAATACCATTGACTACCTTCCCTATGACTTACTCAGTCTGTAACTGGAAGCCCATATCTTCTACTCCCATTCATCCATTTTACCCATCTCCCCACCACACCTCTTCTGGCAACCATCAATTCTCTGTATTTATTGTCTGTTTCTGCTTGAATTTATTGTTTTTTAGATTCCACTTATAAGTGAAATCATATAATTGTCTTCTCTGACTTATTTTACTTACAATACCCTTTAGGTCCATTCATGTTGTGCAAATGGCAATATCTCATCCATTTTTATGGCTGAGTAATATTTCATTGTGTGTGTGTATATATACACACACATACCACATCTTCTTTATCCATTCATTTATCAATGGACACTTAGGTTGCTTCCCTATCTTGGCTGTTGCAAATAATTCTGCAGTAAACATAGGAATACATAGTTTTTAAATTAGTGTTTTTGTTTTCTTTGGGTAAATACCCAATAGTGGAATTAATTGGAATATATAGTATTTCTGTGGGGTTTTTTTTTTTTGAGGAACCTCCATGCTGTTTTCACAATGGCTGCACTAGTTTACATTCTCACCAGCAGTGCATGAGAGTTCCTTTTTTTCTACAGCCTCACCATCACTTTTTATTTCCTTTTGATTCGAACCATCCTGACAGGATAAGGTGATACGTCATTGTGATTTTGATTTGCATTTCCCTGATGATTAGTGATGTTCATCATCATTTTATATGTCTGTTTGCCATCTGTCTTTTTGTAAAAATGTCTTTTTAGGCCCTCTGCCCAGTTTATAATTGGATTGTTTATTTGGTGTTGAGTTCTATATAAGTTCTTTATATATTTTAGATATTAACTCCTGATCAGATATATCATTTGCAAGTATTTTCTCCCATTCAGTAGGTTGCCATCTCATTTTGTTGATGGTTTTCTTTGCTGTGCATAAGTTTTTTGTTTTGGTATGGTCCCAATAGTTTATTTTTGCTTTTGTTTCCCTTGCCTGAGGAGACACCTAGAAAAATGTTGCTAAGGCTGATGTCAAACAGATTGCTGCCTGTGTGTTTTTCTAGGACTTTGATGATTTCAGGTATCCCACTTAGGTTTTGAATCATTTTGAGTTTATATTTCTGTGTGGTGTAAGACAGTGGTTTAGTTTTATTCTTCTACATATAGCTGCCTAGTTTTACCAGTACTGTTTGTTGAAGAGACTGTCTTTCTCCCTTGTATATTTTGCCTCCTTTGTTATAGATTAATTGACCATATAAGCATGGGGGTTTTTTCTTGACTTTCTGTTCTGGTCTGTTGATCTGTGTGTCTGTTTTTATGCCAGCACCATACTCTTGATTAGTATAGCTTATATTTTGAAATCTAGGATTTTGATACAGCCAGCTTTGTTCTCAAGAATGCTTTGGCTGTTCAGGGTCTTCTGTGGTTCCATACAAATTTTAGGATGATTTGTAGTTCAGTAAAAATGCTTTTGGTGTTTTGATAGGGATTTTGTCAACTCTGTAGATTGCTTTGAGTAGTATGGACATTTCACAATGTCCTTCACAAAGAACTTCACAGAGTTCTCCCAGTCCATTAGCATGGTATCTCTTTCCATTTTTTTATGTCATTTTTAATTTCTATCACAAATGTTTTATACTTTCTAGAGTGCAGGTCTTCCATGTCCTTTGTTAAGTTTATTCCTAAGTATTTCATTCTTTTTGGTACAGTGGTAAATGGGATTTTTTTCTTTATTTCTCTTTCTGCTACTAAATTGTTAATGTTTAAAACTATAACCAATTTCTGTATATTAATTGTATATCCTGAAATTTTACTGACCTCACTATCAATTCTAATAGTTTTTTGGTGGACTCTTCAGGTTTTTCTATATATAGTATGTCATCTGCATGTAGTGGCAGTTTTACTTTAACAGTTTCTTTGCCTTTTATCTCTTGTTCTTATCTGATTGCTGCAAGTAGAACCTCCAGTGGTATGTGGAATAAAAGTGGCAAGGCAGCAGTGGACATCCTTGTCTTGTTTTGGATCTTAGAGGAAAAGCTCTCAGTGTTTCACCATTGTGATGATGTTGGCTTTGGGTTTTTTTTTTTTTTAATACGGCCTTTATTATGTTGAGGTATGTTCCCTCTAAACCCACTTTGTTGAGAGTTTTTATCGTGAATGATGGATTTTGTCAAAGGCTTTTTCTGTATCTGTTGCGATGATCATTTGGTTTTTATCCTTTCTCTCAGTGATGTAGTGTATCAGTGACTGTTCTGTGAATATTGAACCTTCCTTGCATCCCAGGAAAAAACCCCACTTGACTGTGGTGAATGTTCCCTTTAATGTATTGTTGGTTGACTGAATAATTTGTTGAGGATTTTTGCATCTATGTTAATCAGAGATATTGGCCTGTAATTTACTTTTTTGTGG